TTTTTTTTCTCACAAAGAAATGGAGAGAAAATCAAGAGGAAGATGAAGAGCATAACATAAACAAAAATGGAGAGGAGCATAACAATCAAATTTAGATTTTTCACTAACAAACTTTGCTTTATATAGCAGAAAACAACCTAAAAAAGATTCAAAAAGATTCTCATATTGTCTAAACAACTTTTTTATATTAAAAAACAACAATAAAAGTACAACTAAAATAAGTAAAAGGAATGATGATTGAGGTACATCTGATCCCTCACCTCAATTGACATATTGTTTTAAAAAATATTATCTCATGGGTTGAAGTTAGGCAAGGGAATAGCTTAAATTCGCTTCCATTCATACTCTAATTGTCTATATTTGTTTCCAAACAGACTAATTGTTGTAGTTAAAAACTTGAAAACCCTATGACCCCAAGTTAAAAATATTAGTCTCTTCTTGGACTTCTCTAACTACTTCTTCTCTCTTTCTCACCTGTCACCTCCCCCTTAGGTGCATTCTCTTCTCCAATCCTCCCAAAATCTTCCCTTTCTTCACCACCCATTACTTTGTCTCTCAAAACAACGAGGGCAACCATAACCCACCTCCCCAAGAAGCTTGCCTCCACTAGATCCCTTGCTTGTAATTGTTCTTTTTTAACCCTCAATTTTTAGAAACCGTTTCACATTGATTAGCTCTATGATTTGGCCACTTGGGAATAAGAAGTGTGAGGGGATTTAGCAATTACTGAAAAACTAATGGAAATAAAATTGGGTTGTCACCAACGTCTCTCCTTGTGTGTAACGTTTTTGTCACATCCTTTAAAAAAATTAAAAATCCCATAGCTACACAACATTTTACTTTTGAAAATTAATGACTTTACACTTACATTACATCACCAACAGCAAAACTTTTAACTCAAGGTCAGAAAAAAAAAAAAAAAAAAAAAAAAAAAGAAGAAAGATGAAAGAAAGGCCAAATTAAAATTCCAAGAGGAATTTGAGATGAAGCCAAGACAGTGAAAAGGAAGATGAGATAAAGGCCAAAGAAACATTTAGGCCATGTAATGTAGATAAGGTCAAGATAGGGCATACTAGAAACTATCCCCTTTGGTGGCAATGACTTCTAGTTATGCTGATTTCAAATTGGAGAAGAGTAATAGTACCACTTCCAAAGGGAGAAGTATACAAGACACTATAGCCACTCTACGTTCTTGGCCAAGGGTGATGGTGTAGATTCAAAAAGGGAAAAGGGTTGCTATGGAGCCCCTTGGGTTCTGTTCACCTGATTTCATCAATTTGAGACAGGTGATTATGGTTCAATCAAGGTAACTTCATGGGAGAAGTATAAGGTCACCATCAGAGGTTAGGATGGTTTAATCGAATGGATTGTCTTGGGTTCAATCTACCTCAAATCTTAATGTAATTTGCAGTTGATCGAGAATGCGGGATTGGATTCAATCAGGGGTCGACATGATTAAATCGGGAGAAGTGAGGGATAAGCGTTTCATAGCCCTAAACTATATTTTAATGCTCTGAACCGCAAGTGTGCAACACATTGTCTTGGTTCATAGTGTGAGAGAATCATTTCCCAAGTAAAAGACAACCACTTTTGTTGCATACTTGCTATGATTTTGTAGCCACTTTGCACCCTTTCATTTCATTTGCATTTATATTTACATGTCATTTGTTGTTCTTTGCAGCTTCATTTCATCAACATTTACAACTTAGCTCGCCACAAATTTTTGTTGTCATTTGACAACTTCATTTCCATCATATTTATAGCTGAATTTCTATCATATTTGCTGTCAAATTATAGCTTTATTTGCTGTCAATTTTCAGCCTCATTGCTGCCATTTCATCACAATTTCCTTTCATTATTTGATAGGTTAAAATGCCACATTTCTAATAATATTTCCAACAAAAAGTGCCATTACTTTTGTTTCCCACAACTTGGATACTGTTGCATCAAGAACAAAACTTGCTGCACAAACCCTCTACAGTCTATACTACTACCTACTAACTAAAACACATTAACTTAAAGCTAAAATTAGGAGTGCAAATCTTTCTGATTAAGTAACTAATCCTTCGATACTTATTTAAAAAATTATACATAAATATAACTCAAACCATCTATTTACATTTTACACATTATTTTTTTTATGTTTAACGCTACCAAGAATTTTTATTCTTAGTTAATATCTTTTATAGTTTAAAATTCATAATAAACTCAAAAATTAAAGAGCAAACCACTTACTTGTGTTTTGATTTTGTTGGTAATTAATTTGAGATTAATTATAAATTTCAAATTATAAAGGACATCAACTATAAAAAAATAATATATAAATATAAATAAAAAATTTAACTGATAAATATATGTATATATTCATTCTTTTAATTAATAAAAAAAATACTATATAATTAACTATGAAAAATATATACAAGAAGGTTTCGACCAATAATTGAGGACAAACACCTCGATAATACCAATTTAAAATTTGAATAAATCTTACAACTGATTATTTTATTTTATTTTAGTCGGCACTCTTTTGTTTGGCAGCAGTGACCGTGACATAAGTGATTACATAAGATGTGCAAAGCAGAAATCATAATAAATCCTTAAAGAGGAAGTGATTTTATGAGTCAATTAAGCATCTATATCCTTATCTCCTCTTTTCTGCATTTTCTTAGCTCCCCGCAGATGGCGACAGTTGACGACGCTAAACTTCACATCGCCATGTTCCCATGGCTAGCCTTCGGTCACTTGATACCATTCTTAGAAGTCGCCAAGCTCTTGGCACAAAAGGGTCACCAAATCTCCTATATCTCCACCCCTCGCAACATCGACCGTCTCCCAAAACTCCCTCCAAGCCTATCACCTTCCATACACTTCATAAAACTCCCTTTACCTCACGTCGAACACCTCCCTGAAAACGCAGAGGCCACACCTGATCTTCCCTACAACAAAATCCCCTACTTGAAACTTGCATACGACGGCTTGAAGGACTCGCTGGTGAAGTTTCTAGAGACATCGCATCCAGATTGGCTTATTTATGATTCCGCTCCATACTGGTTACCCCCTTTGGCGCGAAATCTCGGAATCCCCAACGCCATCTTCAGCATATACTTTGCTAATGCTTTGTGTGCACTGAAACCTACTTCTCCCTTACTTTCGGAGGTAGTCGATGATCGTAAAAATCCAGAGGATTTCACGGTGCCTCCTAATTGGATCTCGTTCCCTTCTCCGATTGCATTTCGACTTTTCGAGATCAATAGAATCTTTGACAGCGTGACGGCTTTGGATTCGCAAGTTTCAGATCTAGATCGAATAGAAGGAGTTTTTAGAGGCTGCGATGCTATATTTCCAAGAGGTTGCTGGGAGTTCCTGCCAGAATATTTACATCTTCTACAAGAACTTCACCAGAAACCTGTAATTCCGGTCGGTTTACTTCCACCGACATATGAAGGTATTAACGATGACGACGAGCCGTGGAGGTCCATGAAAGAGTGGCTAGACAAGCAAGAGAAAGGGTCCATAGTGTACATAGCTTTTGGAAGCGAGGCAAAACCAAGTCAAGAAGAAGTCACTGAGATAGCCCTTGGGTTGGAGCTCGCCGGATTACCCTTCTTCTGGGTTCTGAAGACTCGACTAGGATTGGCTGATAGTGAGGTCGTAACATTACCTGAAGGGTTCGAGGAGCGAACCAAAGGGCGGGGTTGGGTGTGGACAAGTTGGGCACCTCAACCAAAGATTTTGAGCCATGATTCAGTAGGTGGGATCTTGACTCACTCGGGGTGGGGTTCTGTCGTGGAAGCATTAATGAACGAGAGAGCGATTATTCTGCTCACGTTTTTATCGGAGCAAGGGTTGAATGCTAGGATTCTGGAAGAGAAGAAGATGGGGTATTCGATTCCCAGGAACGAAAACGATGGATCATTTACGAAGGAAGCAGTGGCGAAGTCGCTGAGGTTGGTGATGGTGGAGGAAGAAGGTAAGGTTTACAGAGACAAGGCTAAGGAGATGAAGGGGTTGTTTGGAGATAGGGATTTGCAAGATCATTACACGGACAACCTTGTCATGTACCTCAAGAATCATAGAAACCAAAAAAATTCGCGATTCATGAGCGTATAAATTGCGTGGTCAACCGGTGGTGGACTGAGGTGCACTCTAAAATACTGTAATCTAAATAATGTTATGAAGTGTTTACATTAATTATTTTAATATAGTTGATAGATGATATTTAATATTTAATAATAAGTAATTATTGTTATTTACGATCTAAAATATATAAATTATTTGATTAAGGCCAACAATGGTAGTTATTCTTTAATTTTTAAACTAAACATGAATTATATTTCATCTAACAT